AATGGGGTCCTGGCTCTGCAGTGGGTGGAAGGAGAGGCCAGGAGGGACCTGTGTGGGTGCATTTTCACAGCCACAGTTACAGCTTTGAGATGGCTCAGGCACACAGAGGGAGCATACACAAGCACGTCGGGAGGATGTTGATTCTTGTTTATTGAGCACCTACTATAGGCCTAGGGTGGTCACCACCCTCTCTCACGTCATCTCCCAGTACTGCCTTCAGGGAAATGCTCGGGCGGCCTCATTCCACAAGCAGGGACCCAAGCTACGAAGCAAAATCTGGGGAACGTCTCGAGCAGCTCTTCCAAGCCCTGGACGTGGGGAGCGGGCGGATACCTGGCGTCAGGGGCCGTTGACCATCGGGGCCCAGCCAGACCCAGCTCCCCGTGGCCACCAGCCACAGGCCAGGTGGGATCTGGACCATTCTAGTGGTATTCCAAGTTTTGTGACTCATCTCAAGCCAGCAGGGAGAATTAGGGAAGAAAATCACATTTTCAGAGCACTTGAGAGCGTTGAGGATTTTCTCTCTTTGGGGAACCATCTGGATCAGAAAACAAAGAACAGGATTCAGAAAGACCTGGAGAGGATCCCAGCCCTGCACTTTTTGGTGAACTTCTCTGGCCTGACTGAGGCTTAGCTTCCTCCTCTGGGAAACAAGCGTAATCAATGTCTTCATCACAGGCTGTTGCTGAAGCGTTTATGAGGATGTGTGTGGAAACGCTTCGCAAACTGTAAAGGGCTCCCGTGCCATTATTTTCTTCTTTAAAAGGTTGGAATTTTTTTGTGGGGGGGATACTGGGAATTGAGCCCAGGGCACTTTCCCACTGCACTACATCCCCAGTCCTTTTTATATTTATTTATTTATTTTTAAATTTTGAGGCGGGGTCTCTCTAAGTTGCCCAGCTGGCCTTGACCTGTGATCCTCCTGCCTCAGCCTCCTGAGTCACTAGGGTTACAAATTTCCTATTTTAAATCAGAATCCCCAAACTTCTCTGTTCACTCTGAAAATGCATCAGATGCTCTTTTTTTATTTTGTTTTGAGTACCAGGGACTGAACTCAGGGGCACTCAACCACTGAGCCACATCCCCAGCCCTATTTTTCATTTTATTTAGAGACAGGCTCTCACTGAGTTGCTTAGCACCTTGCTTTTGCTGTGGCTGGCTTTGAACTCAAGAGCCTCCTGCCTCAGCCTCCTGAGCTGCTGAGATTACAGGCCTGCGCCACCGCGCCCGGCCGTCAGATGCTCTTGGACTTTGCATATAATTAAAATTAAACATTCACTTGTCTTGACTTCAACACAAAAATATTAAAGATTACAAGTTTGATTTTGCCATCACATTTAGTTCTAAAATTTTCCTGAAGTTGACAATTGCTCGAGGCCTGATTTTTCCCATCTGAGGAAAGAAACAGGAATGTCCTTGGGGTGAGGTGTGCCCACAAGTGGCCAGGCCCAGTAACTGCCCCTTCCACTTCTTATGAGGTCTTCAGTCACTGTCAGCGTGGAAAGCAATCCCCTGGTCAGGCTTTGTGTCCTAGGAGGCTTGTCTCTGCTGGCCATGCTGATGCGCTCAGAAGGCCCCGTGCCACATGCTCGGTTGGGAGATCCCTCCCTCCTCCCTTGGCCCCTAGAAAAAGGGGGAATGACAGAGAGGGAGTTCCCTCTTCTGGAACACCCAACTCAGAGTGTCCAGCTTGTCTGAGCCACGTCCACCCCTCCAGGGGCGGGACAGGGTGGGGTGGCCGAGGCGGCTCTCCACTAGGTGATGCTGGTCCACCTGAAACTGAAACCGGAGCCGTTGCTGGGTTCTTTCCCTCGGAACTTGGACGGCCTTCCCGGTGCGCTGAGTGTTATGGGCGACCGCTCGGAAAGCCCACTAAGTCCAAATTTGAAACAAACTAGAGAATTTTATTTTGTCTCTATTATCCTGGCCAGGGACATTTCTGCCATGACCAAATGGCTTCTGACAGAAGGTGCAGGCTGTCTGCGAAGCTGAAAATTGCAAGCAAGCAGGGTCCCAGGACTGAAAGAGCAGTCAGCAGAGCAGCCGGACGACCACATCCTGGGTTCCAGCTCACTGCGGTTGTTCACCCTGGGTTCAGGTTCACTTGCAGGTGTACGAAGCACAGAAAAACAATTTTTTTAAAAAATAATTTTTGATAACAGGGCTGGGGCTATAGCTCGGTGGCAGAGCACTTGCCTCGAACGTGTGTGGCACTGGGTTCAATCCTCAGCACCACATAAAAATAAAATAAAAAATAAAGGCATGCTGTCCATCTACAACTAAAAAAATTTTCTTTTAAATTTAAAAACAGCTTATATAACAGTTTCATGTGGGAACCATAAAGATGGAGTCACTATGGCTCTATTTACTATTTTATCAATCTATATTTTTTAATCCTGATCTAAAACCTATAACTTACTAATTGTATTGATTAATTCAGACCATAACACTGAGATCCTTGTGGACCAAAGGGGGTTTTGTCTTAGTTCTCAACTCTGGAGCTGCAGACAGCTGGGTGACTTTCCTTATGATGCCCCCCAGTCAAGTTGAGCTGGTTTATAGCAGATCTGTAGGCCCTCCAGGTGGGGTGATTGCTGCTTGTGTTCTTGGAGGGAAGAGACCCCAACTTCCCTCCTCAAAGTGAATCTGCAGCTCCCTCCCCACTGCTTCACCATGAGACTGGTCGGCCAGCCATGACTGTTCCAGAGAATTCCACACTCTGGTTGGATCAGGGCAGGGCTGCAGCTCCTATCAGGGAAATACTCTTTTGACCTGGTCCTCAACTCTGGATCTGAGCCAGTATTTATTTGGCTGTGTATCTCACCGTGATTTTGTGTGGCTGTCGAGCTAGTCATGCTGATAAGAAAGGAAAGGAGTTTACAGGGGAAAAAAATGACTAAAAAATAATGTTAACTCAGAGCCACGGTCAGAGAAGGGAGGATCTAGAGCTAAGAGACAGTGTGCTGACAGCTGGTGCACTGAGCATCTCTTCCTTGTCCAGTTTGACATTCAACTGAGTATTTAGGCTGTTTATATTTAATGTAATTGTACATATGATTAAATTTTCTTACTGTTTGTTTCTGTTTGTCCCATCTGCCCTTTGTTCTCTTCTGTCTTCTTTGGAATTGATTGTTTTTCTCCCAAGTGATTCTATTTTTAGCTCCATGATTGACTCATTAGGTTTAATCTTTCATCTTATGTTCTTAGTTGTCTATTTAGGGTTAACTATATATATTTTTAAACTTATCTCAGTCTAATTGCAAATAATATTGTCATTTCAATATAAAATGTATTTATACATTTTATTTAAATGTATAAAATATATTTTGCAGATAGTGTCAGAATTGCTGAGCCAAATGGTAACTCTATTTTTAACTTTATTTAGGAATGGCCAAACTGTTTTCCAAAATAGCACACCTTGCATTTCTTCCAGCAGTGTATGAGAGTTCTAATTCACCAACACTTGCTATTATCTATCTTCTTTTATTCTAGCCATACCTGTGGGGGGAAGTAGCTTATGATCCTGCTGGTTTTCTTTTTCATACCCCCAATGAATGACAATATTGAAATCTTCTCATGCATTTATTGGCTATTTGTATATGTTCTTTGAAAAAAGTCTATTCAGAGCCTTTGTAATTGATAATTTTATGGAGTTGTAAAATTTCTTTTCTTTCTTTTTTCCTTTTTTGGTACTGGGGACTGATCCAGAGGTGCTTAATCACTGAGCCACACCCCCAGCCATATATATATATATATATGTGTGTGTGTGTGTGTGTGTGTGTGTTCTTTCTTTATAACTGATTCAAGTCCTTATTAAAAAAAAAAAAAACCTTAAGCAAGGAAGAGTGGTCACAGCTTTCAAATGTCAACATGTCAAATGCAGCCGGAGTCTTGCTCCTCCTCTGAGTTGCCAGATACCGTTGCCTCTGTGTCCTCACCTGCAAAACAGTCACATCACATCACACCACACACCCCCATAAGTATGTACAATTTTATATGTCTATTTTTAAAGTGAGAAAATTTTTAAATCTTTAGGGAATGATTAGAAAACTCCCGCCAGGCACAGTGGCACACGCCTGTAATCCCAGTGGCTCGGGAGGCTGAAGCAAGAGGATCCCAAGTTCCAAAGCAGCCTCAGCAACTTAGTGAGGCCCTGTCTTCAAAGTAAAATATAAATAGGGTTGGGATGTGACTCAGTGGCTAAACAAATAAATCTGCAATCAAATGGAGAAGTAAAGGCTCAGCACCACATATAAACAAAGATGTTGTGTCCACCGAAAACTAAAAAATAAATATTAAAAATTCTCTCTCTCTCTCTCTCTCTCTCTCTCTCTCTCTCTCTTTAAAAAAAAAAATGGAGAAGTGAATGCAATGTAAACTGTAAACTAGCTCCTGGGTAGTCACCTGCTGCCCCTCCCTCTAAAGCTGGTGGGGGTGGGGAATGGCCATGAGTGACATTTGCCCCAGATGAAACAAACTTGATGGAAGGATCAGGTGGCTTCTGGGGTCCAGTCCTTCTCCCAGCCCTTTTGCCACCGATGGCTTTGTGGCCAAGCAGTGAACTTTGTCCCTTCTCTGAAATGTGCCCTGGCAGGAAGGGGCAGGGGACTCTCCCAGGGAGGAAGCTGGAGGGCTTCTCGGAGGAAGCGGTGTCAGGTTTGGGTTTTGAAGGATGAATGAGCAGGATATTTCCAGGTGGTAGAAGCAGGTGCTCTGGGCAGAAGAGCCCAGGTAAGCCGATGTCCTGAGGCCATGTGGCGAGACATTCAGCAGCAGCGATGCAGGAGGGATGCAGTAGCACCCGGGGCATGGGGAGACTGTGAAGGGGTGGGCAGCCATGCTGGGGGTGAGGAAGGGCGGGCAGGGCTGCCCTCAAAGCCGATCAGCGAGGAGGTGGGTGGGGCCGAGGGCGGAGGCTGGCTGGCAGCGGGTCCATGTTTGCTCAGGAGCAGCTCAAAGTTTGCAGCTTTCGGTTTCCCTTTCCAGGGCCCAGAGGATGTGTCACTACCCAGAGGCACACTCTGCGACTGCATCCCTACAGCGGAGGACAGCTGGGTCGGGTGGGAGCTCAGCCAGGGGAAGACTCCTTGGTAAGTCGGGGGTATGATGGCCCCGTTTCCTTGTCCTCCCCATAGCTCTGTAAGAGGAGGGTCATTGTGCCCATTTTACAGATGAGCTCCGGGCAGGTCGGGAATCAGTCCCAGGTCCAACAGTGAAGCAGAAGCAGAGCCTGCAGGGTCTGACACTCCCCTGTCCCCTTCTGCAGAAGAGAGGGTGGGGACCTGCTCAGATAGTTCATGAGGTTTCCTCGGGTGCAGCCCAGGCTCCATGGCCAGGTGACCCCAGAGGGAAGGTGATGTCAGCGGTGCCCCGTCTCTTTGGGAAATCTGGAGGTGTCCAGACGTGTGGAGGAGGGCAGGAGGGCCCTTTCCTTGGTAAGCACAGAAGTTCCCAGACCCGGTAATTGCCAGAAGGTTCCTTCTGTGCGTGGATTCTGTCGTCTCTCCAAGGCCGCCTCCTCGTCTTGTCTTATCCTGTCCTTAACAGGACAAGTGGCCTCTGCCTCGGCCAGGGATCCAGGGCAGAGGGAGCTGGAGCAAAGTGACTTTCTTTAAATAGTAGCCGCAGAGCCCAGGAGGCAGAGAACACTCTCAGTCCACTTGGCCTCTGCTGCCACCCAAGCGGGAACCGTAGGAGGCGGGCCCCTTTGCCACAGATGGCTCATGTCCCACCCCACAATGTGCCTCCTCCTCCCCTTCAGCCTGGACGCCGCTCGGAGCTGTAAGGAAAACCTCTCAGAGACATGACCGACCACGACCCCAGCAAGGCCTGCCCAGGTAGCCCGGCTTCCTCTTCTCTGGCTGGTTCTTGCTGAAGACCCAGAACTGGGGTGGCTCCTTTGACACGGAGTTGGCCTGCAGGGGAGTCAAGGAGGGAGCCCCAGGGACAAGTGGTGCCCCCACCGACCCGGGCCTGGGGGGGTCCCTGCCCTCTCCTCAGGAGGCTGGACACTCCACCCCACTCTCCCTCCACCCACCAGCTCAGGTGGGGCAGGGACACGGCTGGCAGGGAGGAGAGAAGGAGCATGGAGAGGGGTGGACAGGGGCCCAGGGTCCTGCCCTCTCCTCCCCTGCTGCTGGCTGACCTGGGCCTCACCCATGGGGGGCTGCGCCCTCCAGCTCTGGTTCTGCACCCAGCTCTGAATGGGTCAGCAGGAGGAGTCACTCAGAATGTCACCGAACTCGACCCCATCGTGACCCTGGCTACCTCCCATCTGTGTCACCCTGAGCTCCTCCCCTCCCCTGTATCAAGAGGACACTGTTTCCTTATTGTGAGGATGTGACATAAGTGCTACGTGGCCTGGGCCAGCACCTGCCACATAGTAGGTCCTCCCTGACTGTCCCTTCTCGCCCCTCCTCCTGGAACCTGACCATCCCAGGTGGGCCTGTGTTAGGGTACCTGCCCGGCACTAGACACCCCCGCGTGTCTAACCAGGGGGCTGCCTAGGGCAAGGGCTAACACTGATAAAAGGAAAAACTGAAACTCAAACCAGAATAGAGCCACCGTCCACCCCCACCTCATGGGCTCTTCCCGAGCCTCGTTTTCTCAGAACTGTTTCCGTCCCCTTCCTCCATTCCCTTGCAGCCAAGTCAGAGCAAATGGTGCTTCAAGTAGAGCCCTCTGGGAGGGGAGGAGGGGAGGCTCCAAGGAGGCCTGAGGCCCCTGGGCCGGCCTGGGCTGCTGGTGTCACTGGGGAGCCCAGGACCGGGAGAAAGCACAAAGATCAAAGTGGAGGGGCCAGCCCCCCAGCTGGGCACCCTCCTGAAGAGTCCCCCCACTGCCAGTCCTGGGGGTCCTCGAAAAACAGAGGAATCCTCACTGCATGCTGGTTTCATTCAATAGTGAGTAACATTATTTTTAAATTTTAAAAAAGCCCAGAGTATTGTAGGGACAGACGAGGCAGGGCACCCAAGACAGCAGGAAACAGTTTTGTTTGGCTGCAGCCAGCTTCAGAGGGCACAGCTCTTGCTGTAATCAGTCAATCCCCTGAACCCCGAGTTCAGGGAGTTTCAGAGTTTTATCCCCAGCGTGTAAGGGGAGGGGCTCAGAAGCTCACAGTCTGCAGAAGTTCACATAAAAGCAGCTTTTTCTCTCTCTGTTCTGGGCTAGTTAACCCTTCGAGGACAACACCTGAGAAGGGGAGAGCTTCTTCTCCCCTCTCTTTCCTCCCCTGACCGCTGTCACCATGGAGCCCAGTTGTAACTTATCTTAAAAATGTAGACAGCTCTGTGAAGCCCAGCTCAAGGCCAGAGGCCTTGTTAAAGGATCTGTCTTTTTATTATCATATTTTACTTTTGCAAACACACTTCCACAAACTACCAGATAAATGTTTGTGAAAAAAAGTAAAGGGGCGTCCAGCTCCTGTGGTGCTGATCTCTTCCAGGCCCGTGGCCAAGTGAAATAGAGCAACAGGAAAACAGAAAGTTTACCTCCATTGAGCTCTTTTGCAGAGACTCTTTTGCTGATAGTCCTAAAATCAGCCATGGTGAAGATGTCTGGAGAAGCTTAGTTAAGGTTTTCTGTGGGTGGGGGTGTCACTACAACAGATATACTATAGTGTAGAATGCAGAAATCACCAGATTTTTTTTTCCTCAGTACTAGGAATGGAACCCGGGGTGTCCTGCCACTGAGCTGCGTCCCCAGCCCTATTTTGTATTTTATTTAGAGATAGGGTCTCACTGAGTTGCTTAGCACCTTGCTTTTGCTGAGGCTGGCTTTGGACTCGCGATTCTCCTGCCTCAGCCTCCCTAGCTGCTGGGATAAAGGTGTGCACCACTGCTCTCGGCTGAAACTCTGTTTTGAAAATACCATGAACAGTATTTGACATGCAACAGGCATAGGGCAGCTGGAAGTTGTCACTGGAACATTCCACTGTCCAGCCAGAAAGGCTGTCCAGGGCCAAGAACACTTTGTCTCTCTGCAGAGCATCAGGGCACTTCCCTGAACTGTAGTCTTCTTGGGCTCCTATCACAGAATGCCCCAGGCTGAGCAGCTTAAGCCAAAGTCACTTACCTCTAACAGTTCTGGAGGCCAGAGGCCACGCTGCAGGTTTCTGGTGAGGCCTCTCTTCCTGGCTTGTGGAGGCTGCTTCTCACGGGTCCACAAGGCCTTTCCTTGACACAGGGCTGGGGGAAGATCTGGTGTCCTGTGAGCTTCTTCTAAGGACACCAAGCCCATCGATTAGGCCCACCCTTGTGAACAGTTCCATCTTAATTACTTCACTTCCTTAAAAGTCCTATCACCAAACACAGTCACTGGGAGTTAGGGCTTTAACTTATGAAGCTGGGGACATGGTTCAGTCTACAACGCCAGCGACTCCACAGATATACCCCATGGGGACCTGGGTGTAGCTCAGTGGTGCAGTGCTTGCCTTGCAGGTGCAAGGTCCTGTGTGTGATCCCAGCACTGCAAAAAAAAGTACCCCATGTGGCCGCAGCCAGGACGCTATTTCCGCTGTGGCCCACTGTCCCCTAACCGTGCTTTCTTCTCCCCATAGACGGCAAGAGCCTCACTGAGGATGCCATTGAGTATTTGCAGAGCGTGGTGAGCAGAGAGGACCTGGAGCTCCTGCTGACCGAAGAGGCCTGGGAGAGCCTCGTGGCTGAGGCTGATTTGTCCAGGTAGCTGCGGTCGGGAGCTTCCCCCTTCTCCCCCTGTCCTCTCCTGGCCCCAGCCTATCGGATGGTGCCACCACAATCAGGGAGGGTCTCCCCGCTCAGATCACCTACCCATGTGCCCAGTGTCTCCAGACACACGAGTGTGCTTCATCAATTTTCTAGACATTTCTGTTTTTTTTTTTAAATACTTATTTTTTAGTTGTAGTTGGACACAATACCTTCATTCTATTTCTTTATTTTGATGTGATGCTGAGGATCGAACCCAGGGCCTCGCACGCATTAGGCGAGTGCTCTGCCGCTGAGCCACAACCCCAGCCCTTTTCCTAGGCATTTCTGAATCCAGTCTAGTTGACCACCAAGGCCTACAATCTCAAGTCCTGACCACATGCTGTCCTCCCCGAGGACCTGCGGTCTCCATCCTGGAGGTTTATGGCTTTAGCCTCCAGTTCCTCTGGAGATCAGAAATAGCACAGAAGCTCCCATCGGATGTCACATTGTTAAGTTAAGCATCCTTTAATGCTTGGAACCAAAAGTGTTTCAGATCCTGGATATTTTTCCGGGCCGGGGCGGGGGTGGGGTTACCGGGGATTGAGCTGAGCCACATCCCCAGCCCAATTTTGTATTTTATTAGAGACAGGGTCTCACTGAGTTGCTTAGCATCTCGCTAAACTGCTGAGGCTGGCTTTGAACTCGTGATCCTCCTGCCTCCGCCTCCGGAGCCATTAGTGTTATGGGTGTGCACCACTGGGCCTGGCCCTGGATTTTTTTGTTTGTTTTTGGATTTTGAAATATTTACAGATATATAATTAGCTATCTTGGGAATGGGACCCAAGTCGAAATGTGAAAGTCAGTTTCTTCTCTATACCTTATGTATGCAGCCTGATGGTGATTTTATTTAATATTTTTAGCAATGCCTGCGTTTTGACTGTGACCCATCCCATGAGGTCAGGTGATCAACTCTCCACTTGTATCATCATGAGAGTGCTCAAAAGGTTGCAGATTTTGGAGCATTTCAGGTTTAGATTATTGGATCAGGGATGCTCACCTGTATGGTCTTGAGGCCAGAGAGTCCGGGCAAACAAAGACATTCCTAGCAGGAGGACATTCCAAGGGCCAACAGATCACTTCCCCATAGCTGAGGACAAAGGGAAGCCTTCTCTGGAGCAAGCTGAGTCTTCCCTACACACTAGCATTCTCTGAATTAAAGGGTCTTGTTTGTTTATTTCCCAGTTCTCTTTGTTCAGACACAGAGCACCTGCTCTACAAATAGTTTGGTAGTGACGCCATTGACCTTGAGTGAGAAGGTGCTTTTTCAAATGCCTACCACTGAAGAGCATCTTAAGATGACTTTCACACATGCACCACCTTATTAAGGACCACAAAGTATCTATGATGTTCCAAACATGTTTAGCATTGGAAGAAAAATGCTGAACATCAGGAAAATTCGTTTTCACTTGGTTTATAGTAAAGGCTCTGAGGCTCATGCAGGACAGACACAGCTTACTGAGCCCATTGACAGGCAAGCCAACTGCCTCTCTTAGTCACTGACCTTGACTCTTCCAGGGAGGAAGCAGATGCGCTGTACGAGGCTCTGAATAAGCTTAGAGGAGACATGGCCCTGGAGGACGAGGACATGCTCCAAACCCACATGCAGGACAGGGAGAGGTTCCTGCAAGAGTTTCCGCAGGTAAAAGCGGAGCTGGAGGAGTGCATAGAGAAGCTCCGCGCCCTGGCAGACAGGGTTGACAAGGTGCACAAGGACTGCACCATCTCCCACGTGGTGGCCAACTCCACCGGTGCCGCCTCTGGAGTCCTCACCATCCTTGGCCTGGCCCTGGCACCTGTGACGGCAGGAGTCAGTCTGGCCCTCTCGGCCACTGGGGTGGGGCTGGGAATAGCCGCTGCTGTGACAACCGTCTCCACTAGCATCGTCGAGCATTCAAGCACTGTGTCCGCCACAGAAGAAGCCAGCAGCCTCGTGTCAAAGAACGCGAGCAATGCGAAGGCCGTTGCCCAGATCGTGGGCCACAATGCACCCAAGGCCATTTCCTTGACCAAGAACTTCATCCAAGTACTGGGCGACATTGGGAAGCACATCCGGGCCATCAAGCTGGCCAAAGCCAACCCCCGCTTAGTATCCAGTGCCCGGCGCCTCATGACGACCGGGAGAATCTCAATCCGAAATGGCAAGCAGGTACAGAGAGCCTTTGGAGGCACTGCTCTGGCCATGACCAAAGGGGCCCGGATCATGGGTGCAGCCACCGCAGGCATCTTCCTTCTGATGGACGTGATCGACCTCGTGCAAGAGTCGAAGCATTTGCATGAGGGGGCAAAGGCAGAGTCGGCTCAAGAGCTGAGGCAGAAGGCTCAGGAGCTGGAGGAGAAGCTGCAAGAACTCATCCAGACCCACGAGAGGCTGCAGTTGGACCCGTCGCCATGACACCTCTCCTCAAGCAGCACGGAGGTCAGGGGACACGTGCTGGACAGAGGAATGCCTGCCTGGGGGCGTTTTATTATATGGGAGAGAGAGAGAGAAATAAAGCCTTTGAAACTGAGTGTCAAGGCGTTTGGCATTCCTGTGGCTGAGCACAGCAAGACAGAGGTTAATGCTGACAGCAAGTGGGTCAATAAGAAGGCAGGAACCCAGAGTCTGAAATAAGGGACAAGAGGGGACACGAATGTGCAGGGAACAGGAAGAGTTTATCTTGGACTAAAGAATACATGGGAAGCCAGGTGTGGTGACACACACCTATAGCCCCAGCTGCTCGGGAGGCTGAGTGGGAGGATGGCTTGAGCCAGGAGGACGAGGCCAGCCTGGGCAGCAGGGTGAGATTCCATCTCAAAAGAGAAAGAATAAGTGCGGGGGTTGTGAACAGAGAGGAGGTGGGCAGCAACAGGCAGGGAGACACCAGGAAAGCAGTTGGCCGCAGCAGGGAAGGGACAGCAGCTCCCACACCGCCCCTCCCAGAGCCCCACATCCAGCAACAGGCTTTCCCTGGTGGACTCTGGCCTCGTCTTTCCAGGATCTATTCACCCTTGGTTTATCTCAGGAAGGCAGGGACTTTTTTTTTTTTTTTTTGGTGGGGGTGTGTCCTGGGGATTGAACTCAGGGGCCCTCGACCACAGAGCCACATCCCAGCCCTATTTTGTATTTTATTTAGACACAGGGTCTCACTGAGTGGCTTAGGGCCTTGCCATTGCTGAGACTGGCTTTGAACTTGCGATCCTCCTGCCTCAGCCTCCCGAGCCGCTGGGATGACAAGCATGTGCCACCACACCCAGCAGGCAGGGACTTCTTGATAGTGACAGTAGTGATGGTGGTGATGGTGGTGGTGGTGGTGGTGGTGTTGACAGCAGAGTGGGTGAAGTGCAGGTGGCCAGGCTTCACTGGGGCCAGGGTGCGCTGAGGGAACGTCCAAGGAACCTCCAAACGCAGTATTGTCATATGGTTGATCTGGGGGTGGGGGGGTGAGTGAGACCAGATTCGAGGAGTGGGTTAAGGAATCTTGTAGTGTGTCGCGATCAGCCAGCTTGGGGTCAAGAGACAGCCTCCCTGAGCCTCCGTTTCCTCATTACTTTGGGAAGGAGGTGCTGGGCAAGAGGACATCCCAGATCCATCTGGCTCTTTCCAGTTCGTGTTCTGTATTCTGTGGTTCAATAAATATTATATGATTGATCCAGGAAAATTGATGTAAAAGAACTGATGGCCATAGGTCAAAGGTGCCCTGGCCAAAGGAAGAGTCAGAAGATCCGGGATTACAGAGGGTAATCTTTTGGGGGGTTTTCTGGACAGAAGTGTGGTCAAGGGTAGCAGAAAGACCAGTGGATCCCCGCCACCTGGGTCAGGGGGAAGGAGCTTATGTATATAGTGGTCAGGATGCGAGTGGCTTCATCCAAGCCAGAACGTACCTGGTTTTATCTCAAGCCAACGTCGAAGACATCAGGTACATTCCCAGCACTGATGGAATCTGGTAGTAAATCCTACAAACCGCTCTAATGGTTTATCTACAGTGTGCCAGGAAACTGTGCAGGGGAGACAGCCACGTTTACTCCAGGGAAATCGTAGCAATTATAACTCAAGTTGGCCATCAAGTCGGCCTGGGCCCGCACCCTGATGTGCTGAACCTTTGTGGGTGGACTCGTTGGCTCACCTGGGCTCTGTGTGCCTGACTTCCTGTTGTAGGCCCCAAATGGCGATAGTCAAGACTCCCTTGCTGTGGCTTCCAGCGAGTTATTTTTAGTCTGCAACCATGCTTGCGAGCATGCGCGCTCTTATGTGACCTGTTGCCCGTGTGCCTTCTCTGTTTGCCCTGCACATAAAAAAGGCCTATGGAAGCTGGGCGCAGTGGCCCACGCCTGTAATCCCAGCGGCTGGGGAGGCTGAGGCAGGAGGATCTCGAGTTCAAAGCCAGCCTCAGCAATGGTGAGGCGCTAAACGACTCAGGGAGATGTTGTCTCTAAATAAAGTACACAATAGGGCTGGGAGTGTGGCTCAGTGGTGGAGTGCCCTGAGTTCAATCCCTGGTGCTCCCCGCCAAAAAAAGACCTATGGAAGGACTCATGGACTAAATGCTGGAGCTGGAACTGGACAGTGAGGGCTGCTGTCGTCTCTGAATAAAGAATATCTGCTATCCCAACTGCACTCACGTCTTTCTTCACTACCGGGATCCCAGATCTGTTTCCCAGGGTCTGAGCCTCCATCCAGAGGCTTCCCTTCCCCATGAGCCTTCTCCCAGGGCCTCAGGGAACAGGTCCTCTATGGCCTCACTCACTGGCTCCTACTATCCTGCAGGCCCTGCTGGGTCACCTGGGGGAAGGAAGCTCAGGCGTGTCTGACTCAGGCTGAGCGTAGGTGCTCCCTCCATCCCGCCTCTGGGCCCTGGATTGACATGCAGCACACGAGGTCGATCAGTTCAGAGGGGGCTGCGTGCAGGTGTGCAAGAGGGTCAGAGGTCGAGGGACAGAGATAACTAGACAGCAGACGTCCTCATCCGAGATGTCCTCATGATTCACCCAGACCCCTGCAACAGCTTCCAGAATGGTGTTTCTTATGGCAGTGCCCCAGGCCCTGCCCATCCTCCACACTTGAGTCTATGGATTTGATTAAAAGCACCTGCGTCCAAGTCTTCCGTGGCTTCTCATCACTCAGCACAAAAGACCCCAAACTTCGGGCTGCTTAGAGTAAGTAGCCTGTTGTGGCCTGGGGTCCCCCGAAGCAGAGCCGGAGCCAAGGCTCATGCACAGGGGGCTATTTAGGAACTGGTCCTGGGAGCAGGACGAGGGACCAGGAGGAGCCGTGCACAGAAGGAGGGAAGAGAAGACAGCCATCTGCTCACCCACCGGGTGACTAAACCTGCCAGGACCTTGTGAGGAGCCTGAAAGGACTGTCCTCGACATCCTCCTCCTGTCCCCCGTGGGCTTGCCCCTAGGGGCATCTGTATTTCCACAGAAAGCCTGTGAGGGCCATCCCCGAGGCCAGAGCAGGAGCCAGAGACAGAGGGTGGCAAACATCTGGTCACTCCCAAGGGCATCCAATGCCTAGCAAGTCCTTTTGTGTGTACGTTCCCTCTCACCCTCTGTTACGGTTCAACTGTGAGGTGTCCCCCAAAAGCTCTCATGTGAGACAATGCGAGAAGGGACAGAGGAGAAATGATTGGTGGTGACAGCCTTAACCCAATAAGTGAGCTGGGGTTTAACTGAGTGGTCACTGGAGGCAGGTGGGTGTGGCTGGAGGAGGTGGGTCACTGGGGGCGTGGCTTTGGGGTGTAGATTTGTATCTGGAGAGTGGGGTCTCTCCGCTTCCTGATCCTCAGTGAGCAGCTGCCCTCTGCCACACTCTCCCCATAATGCTCAGCCTCACCTCCCGCCCCGAGGAACGGAGCAGGCTGTGGGGGGCCACTCTGAATGATTCGCCCCTTCCATGCTGGATCGAGAGGCTCTGACCGGTCACTAGGTTTCCTAGGCACCTGGACTTTGTCCCCGTCCAGGAAAGCAAGTCTTCAGACGTAGGCGTGTCACCATGGGGTGGAGGGAGCTAAGCTCACCTGTTCCTTCGTAATCCTACCCCTTTGCCCTGTTTGGCATAGAATGTTCCATGGAAATGCCCTTTGTGTGTCCCCTTATCTTGCTCTGCCTTTGGGTGTGGCCTCCCTAGATGTCAGTCGCCTGCTGTCAGCAGACATCAGAAGCTAGACTCAGCCCCCTGAAACCTGACCCCTTGCTTCATTTGAATGGCTTCTCCTCATAAAAGGGGTCAGCACCTGCTCTCTCTCTCTCTTTCTCTCTTTCTGCAGACCCCTAAGGTCAGAGGAGCCGTCACCGTCACAGGACCCCAAAGAAAAAGGTAACTCTGTCTCTTGTGTGATTATTTCATCCAGCCCAGTTCCCCTGGAGTGACCCTGAGTGTTTTTGTCTCGTGGAATGTGACAGCCGGCTGTCTGTGGGCTGAGACCTCTGAAACCGAGAGCCCCAAATAACCTTTTCCTCCTCAACCACTGTTCTGGTCACGTCTTTTAGTCACAGCAGCAAAAAAGCTGACTAAAACACCCTCCATCCGCCAGCCACAGCCACCCACATCACCTGCCCTGGTGTCTCGCTGTCAGTTCTTAGAAGACTGTCACTCCTTCACAGATTTCCCCTGGGCCTTGTGTCAGGCGCTGAGTCACGGAGGAGTTTCTCAGTAACCCACCCACCCCTCCCCCCAGCCCTGAGAGTCGGAATTCCGCCGTGGTAACTGGGAACTTGGTTCAGCTCCACCGTGATGTGATGCTCGTGTTAGTTGGGCTGTGAGGTGTCCCCCAAAATCTCACGTGAGACAATGCAGGAAGGGTCAGAGGAGAAATGATTGGCGGTGAGAGCCTTAAACCAATCAGTGAGTCACTCCCCTGATGGGGATTAACTGAGTGGTCACTGGTGGCATTTCGAGCCACAGAAGTAGAGCCCCCCGACGGACCCAAACCAAAAAGAGCATCTTTTGAAAGGGAGCTGGGGTGACTCAGAGGAGGGAGACAGAATGAGATCTACACAAGACAGGAACCGGGGCGGCCTACACCAGAAACTTGTGGTCAGCCCTTGTGCTCCGCCGGTCACTGGTGAGTCCTGCTTCCCCACGTGTTGAAGGTTGAACATTGGAGAAGCAGCCGCGGCGAGCATATGAAGCAGGTTTATTTAAAGGGGTCACATAGACTTCTCGCAGGAGGGAGAAGGGGCCACAGCTGGTGTCCTGGTATCCCAAGGAGCGAGGTGCTCTGCCCTTTTTATGTGTCCTAGGATTCCTTTGTTCTCCTGCTTGTCCCCCTTATCTTTCTCCTTCTTGCGGACATGACGAGGCCCAGGACATGACTAGGCCCAGGAAATGCTCGGTGGGATGGCCAACAGGTGGGCTGAAGGGGGAAGGGCAGGAGGGAGCCGCCAAAGACACACTAACAACCTCATGGCTCCCTGTAGGGAGGGGCAATTCCTGGGACAGGTTACCTTGGCAATAGGTTGGAGCAGGGGCAGGTTCTTGATAAGATCCCTCAGGGGACAGTCTCCAACTTCCCAGACTCACTCAAAATTGGCCTCCTTGACCTGACCTGACTCGATTTACCCATCTACCTGGCTGCCTGTCAAATTCTGGCTTCACTTGGAGGGTTGCATCAGATGGCTTTGTTCCAAACATCTTGATTTCAAATTCTCAGGAAACAGAATAGCTTGGGTCAGGTGACTACTCTTGGGCCAGTCAGGTCAGGGGATCAAGAAGGGAGCACCCACATTTGACTATACATAGTTAAGCTTGGCTCTCAGACATCTATCAGCGTCCTTCTCATATGACCAAGGTTGGCTCTCCTCCCCTCCACGGACCCCACACTCCCAAGTGCAACAGCAAACACACTTGCCCCTTCTCCAGTTTAGATGCACCCACGTCAGTTCCCTCTTCTATACCTTGAAATTTTGTCACGAGCGCAGGAACTCAGCATGTCTCTTGCTCCCCCAGGAGCTCCTATCTTTTGGGGGGAGGCCAGCAGGGATTGAGTTCAGGGGTACTCAACCACCAGGCCACATCCCCATCCTATTTTGTGTTTATTTAGAGACAGGGTCTCACTGAGTTGCTGAGTGCCTCACTTTTGCTGAGGCTGGCTTTGAACTCGCAATCCTCCTGCCTCAGCCTCCTGAGCCTGGAATTACAGACATGCACAATGTACCTGGCTAGTAGCTCCTATCTTAATATTTGTGTGTGTGTACATGTGTGTGTGTGTGTGTGTGTGTGTGTGTGTGTAGGAAACAGTAGAGGCTACAACTGCCACGTGCCATTGCTACCACTGCTAAGGATCCTTTCCCTGGTCATTCCACGGAGCATTCCTCTTAATCACAGACAAATTCATTCCCAGGGGGCCTGAGCCTCTTGAAGGCCTTGCCTTAGTAAGATTCTAGAATTTTCTATGAACTTTTACTACTTGTTAAACTAGTACAGGAAGGAATCTTAAGGGATCCCTGGAGTCCTATAAATTCTCCTTCTGCACTATTGTGTAGCAACATGAATCTCTTGATGATCAAGATTGATTAGCAAACGCAACAATAAGTGACCTTATTGTTATTTCCCATCAAGTAGCCTGAAGAGCAGATATCGTCAGTTCAGAAACTATTTTGCTGGCCCTGAGGAAGGTATCTAGTCCTGCAGATCTCAGAATTATGGGTAGCGAAAATAAAATATCTGAGAGTGGCTCATTATGTGCAGTCACAGAGCTACTGCCCACGTCTTAACTCCTTGACACTCAGATTCATCAGTTGTGGCAATGGGAGAAAAGGTACCAAATCCAGGAACAGATTCAGAGCACAGAGCATCCTCCAAGACAGCTCCTATTCTCAAGGTGTCTTCTCCCAGCTGACATGGGGCTGAGGCCCTGTTTTGGTCACAGCTTTTGCATTGCTGTGACCAAAACTCCCGAAAAGAACAACTTAGGGGAGAAGAACAACTTAAGGGCTCATGGTTGCAGAGGTCTCTGTCCACAGATGACTGACTTCATTGCCGGAGTGAGGCAGAACACCGTGGTGGAAAGGCCCAGCAGGGAAAGCTGCTCTGTTCAGGGCAGGGTCAGGAAGAGAGGGAGGGGACGAGGCCAGAGGAAGCACAACCCCCAGTGACCACCTCCTCCCTGCCCCTCCTGCCCGCAGTTACCACCCAGTCAGTCATTCAAGCCAGGATGGGCTGATGACGGTACAGCTCCCACCGTCTAGTCATCTCACTCTGATATTCCTGAGTTAACAGGAACTTTTGGGTGACACTTCACCTCCAAACCATAACAGTCCTCTTCAGGCCATTTCAGTGATATCCAAGGTGGTCACTTCCAAAGCTGAGAGTCACCAGATGTCAAGTAGTCAGCTTGACCCTGTTGCCTGGTGACAGAGCCCATTTGGAAACCACTAGTGTGCCGGGGAAGGCGGGAGACCTGCAGCCACAGGCGTCTTACCCCCTTGCTTATTAAGAGTCCCTTGATAGGGGAGCTTCCAGCAAGCACACGGGGGCAGTGGTGTTTTCTAGCTCTGGCCTCATTCTGAGAGCTCCATCCATATGCCTCTTCCCTAAATATCTTTGCCACCAAGCCTCCACGTCCTTCCAGAATACTGAGCTTGCAGCCAAACCTCAGCTTTTACCTAGGAAACCATGCAGATCCTGGCCTGAGGATCCTCCTTTGTGGGCAGAGTGGGCCTCAGGACATTCTCTGTTGTCACTGGGAGTACCCTGGGAGGAGTTCTAGCCATCCAGTCCTGGCTGAAGCTGAGTGCTGAGTGCTGAGCACTGAGTGTGAACATCTGAGTTGGGCCCTCGGGGCTGTTCAGTGTGGTCATCATTAATTCTCCAGTTAGTTTTGCAAGTCAGATTGCCTCCTGCAATCAAAGGGGACCACTGGAGCGGGTGGGTGTGTCACAGGTGAGGACTGTACCGCATCTCTCCTCCTCCCCCCAGCTAGGAGAGAGAGGCTGGTCCCGCCTTCCTCTGCGCCCCCTGCCCTGGCATCCTGACCCGCGGCACCAGACCTAAGCTGGCTAACCCGCTGCTCCCACATGGGACCCTGGATCTGAATCTTAGAACTGATTCTCAGTGGCAGCAGCAGGGCTTCCCAGAGGCAGATGGTAATGAGGCAACCCAGGGGTGGAATCTCAGGGCTGCAGAGGCAGGACCGCGGCCATCCTGTTGCAAAACCTGATGCTTGTGCCCCCTGCCTTTGGCATCACATTGCTGTCTTGGTGTCTGCGGACTTCCCGAGCCTGCTCTCCAGGATCCTGCTGGCCCAGGGTACCTTAGGTATCATCCCATCAAATTTCCTACTATGGGGCTGGGGATGTGGCTCAAGTGGTAGCGCGCTTGCCTGGCATGCGTGCGGCCCAGGTTCGATCCTCAACACCACATACAAACAAAGATGTTGTGTCCGCCGAAAACTAAAATAAATATTAAAAAAAAATTTCCTACTATTATTTGCTGAAGGAAACCAGAACTGGTATCTTTGTTTATGATCAGGAAAGCGGATTGGTACATGCCAAGAGCTGGGGGCTGTATTCATTTGCTTTATTAACAAGAACACCTTAGGAATGGCGACTCCAGAATTTCAGCCTGACAAGGTGAATGAGCTCCATCTTGGCTTCCAAGACTCATGGCTGCTGGGCACTGGGCAAGCTGGAGGGAGAATCAGTGTCACGGGAATCTCTGCTCCTGTCCCTTTGGCGCCATCTCTAGGTCCTTCAAGCACTGGTGTTGAATTTGATTTAAATATTTTGGATGCCAGGCTGTGGTGGCACACTTGCAATCCCAGCTGCTCAGGGGGCCGAGGCAGGAGGATTGCAAATTTGAGGTTGGCCTGGAAAACTTAGGAAAGCCCTGTCTCAAAATTAAAAATACAGAGGGGTTGGGGAAAAGTGTCCCTGGGTTCGATCCCCATTACTGCAAAAATATGAAATAAGATAAAATATGTAAAAGGACTGAGTGTAGCTCAGTGGTGGAGTGCTTGCCTAGCATGTGTGAGGCCTTGGTTTCCATCCTCAATAACACAACAATATGCATATATGAAGTAATAAAAATAAGATTTCGGTAGAGTTATAAATCTCAAAGACTTCCACTTGGCCGAGCTCACTAGAACAGACCCTGTCCTGAGTTTGTGAACACTCTGCAGCCTTCAAGGACACCAGTGCCAGTTACCCTCTCAAGAACCTGAACAGTGGTGGCCAGGGAAGGGTAGGGTTCCCAGTTTACATTTTCATTTGTTCCTGTTCCCCCCTGACCAGCAGATAGCAGAGGCACCGAGACTTCATGGGCCAGGAATTCATGCAAATTTGGCCAGTATCCGCAGTCCTAGGTACATGGCCGCCTTTGAAGGTCAGTTACCCGAGGTTCCTCCAGACGGGACAATGTTCTCATGGTGTGTGACAAGGCTGTTCTCAGATTCTGGCCTCCCTTCCTGCAAGGACTCTGGGTCTGTCCTATCTATGACTCAGGTCTCTGAACTGGGTGGGAAGCAGGACCATCCAGCATGAGACTGTCTGGCACACGCTCACTAGATTTGGGATCTTACAAAGTAAGTGGCCATCCACGAGTCCTCTTATGGGGAATCTCTGCATGCCAAAGCAGCCCTGACCCCCAATCCAACGCCTGCCTGACCACCCAACACCATGCCCACGCTTTCTGTTCTTCTGAACGTCAACTGCCTCTCCAGAGTTGGCCTCGTAGAGTTTCTCCCACCCTAAAGAGATCAGGCTCCCAGCCCCTTGTGCTGGTCTAGAGAGCTTCCTTGACCATTTACTCCTCATGTCAAAGGAGGCTCAGTGTGGGCAGGAAGTCCCTGGGAGACAAATATGCCATCCTGTTTACTGCTCGCTCGCTCTCTCTCTCTCTCTCTCTCTCTCTGGTACCAGGGATTGAACTCAGGGGCCCTCGACCACTGAGCCCCCTCCCCAGCCCTGTTTCGTATTTTATTTAGAGTCAGGGTCTCACTGAGTTGCTCAGCTGACCCAGCCTCCCAAGCTGCTGGGATTACAGGTGAGGGCCAGGGCTCCCAGCTCCTGTTCATTTTGATTCCTCCCCTTCCTTTCCCCCTCCCTTCACTGTTCTTCTCCCTCCCCTCCCCCCTTCCTCTTCTTCCTTCTCTCCCTCCTCCTCCCCGCCTTTCTCTCCCACCCTCCCTCCTCCTCTTCTTTTTTTCTTCCTCATGCCAAGAACTCTCTGGCTTTGGGGGGTCCCAGAGAGGTGGCCAGTCTTAGTTAATGGTCGCATAGCCGACCCGGGCACAGCTGGATTCGCCCAGCTGCTGGAGCATGGCCGTGGCCTTGAATCCAGAGTTACCTTCCATCCTCTTTGTTGATTACCCTCAGAGTCCACCCCACAAATTGCCTCCGACGTGTGGAGCTCTCAGAGTGAATTAGGCTGCTGTCTTGGGGTGCGTGGTTTCCAGTCTGCGCTGGGCTCTGGGGGCTGCACTGACTTCGAATCTGGATCTCGGTGGTCCAGCAGCGGAGCGAGCTGAGCAGATGCGAGTGGACGCCGCACGCAGGGGGCCCTTGGGTAGGGGCTGGAATTGGGATTCTTCAAATCCCCTCAGAGATCCTGGTTGGAATTTTCTAGATGCAACTTGTGGTAGGCTGAATAACAAGCTCTAAAAATGCCCACGTCCTCATCCTCATCCTCAGAATCTGTGATTATGTCACCTTAAAATAAAGGAACTTTGCCTATGACGTGATCCAGTGACGGGTCTGGAGAAGGGAGGTATCAGGGACGATTTGGGCGGGTCCAGTGCCATCAAGGGGTTCATCCAGGAGGGTCGGGGAGGAAAAGGAGATGTGGTGGCAAAAAAAAAAAGGAGGCAGAGAGAGAGAGCGAGATGGGGAGGTGTGGGCGGCTGGTTCTGAAGGCGGAGGAAGGGGCCATGAGCCAAGGAACACAGGTGGCCTTTAAAAACCAGAAAAGAGCTGGGCACAATGACCGCCTGTAACCCCAGCTTCTGGGGAGGCTGAGGCAGGAGGATCACCAATTTGGAGGCCAGCCTGGACAACTTAGCAAGACCCTATCTCAAATAATGATGATGATTAAAACCTGGAAAGTCAGGGGATGGATTTTCCCGAGTCCCCAGGAGAAATAGACCTTCTAACACCTCGATTTCAGGACTACTGACCTTCTGAAGTACAAGGGATTAACTTGTGTTGGTTCAAGCCACTACATTTGTGCTACTTTGTTATAGCAACCATAGGAAACTAAAATTCAGGAGTGCCCTTTAAAATAATATAAAAGATCTTGAGGCTGGGCTTGGGGCTCAGTGGTAGAGCGCTCCCCTAGCACGTGCGAGGCGCTGGGTTCAATCCTCAGCACCACATAAAAAATAAGTAAATAAAATAAGGTACTGTGTCCAATTACATCTAAAAAAAAAAAGCCAGCCTCAGCAACAGTGAGGCGCTGAGCAACTCAGTGAGAGCCTGTCTCTAAATAAAATACAAAATAGGGCTGGGGGTGTGGCTCAGTGGTCGAGTGTCCCTGAGTTCAATCCCTGGTACCTCCTCACACAAAAAAATATAAAAGATCTAGTGAGGATTGAATTCATCCTGCGAATATGAAACCTACATAATTGATCTCCAAATTTGTGTTTTTGTTGTTGTTGTTTAGTACTGGGGATTGAACTCAGGACACTGGACCACTGAGCCACACCCCCAGCCCTATTTTGTATTTTATTTAGAGACAGGCTCTCACTGAGTTGCTCAGCGCCTCACTGTTGCTGAGGATGGCTTTAAATTCGCCATCCTCCTGCCTCAGCCTCCCAAGCTGCTGGGATTATAGGTGTGCACCACAGTGCCCGGCTTCCAGATTCTCTTTTTATAGGAGAATCTTTCAGTTGAAAACTATAAAAGCCAGAATTTATTTCCTGCCTTCAGGAAAGTTTTCAAGACTTCAGCCCAGCATTTGTCCAAAGCGGCTGGCCAGCTGCAGGTCCCAGCATCTCTCTTCCCTTCTATGTGGCCAACAGAAAGCAGGTGCTGCCAGGAGAGGGCGCACGTAGCTCCGCCCCCCTCTCAGCCAGAAAACCCTTCTAAACAGACCAGCCTGCCTGAGCGCCCTGGTCTGCACACACTGTTAGGTACCAATCCATGTGCCTAGGAAGACCCTTTTATTGCAAGCGGAATAGCAACCATATAAAACAAGACAAGAACAAAACCAGACACAAATTAAATATTTAAATTTAAATATTTAAATATTTAAATTTAAATAGAGGCATTTCCTGGAATGATCCAGAGAGAAATCTTACAGGATTAAAGAAACACACAGCTGAGGGTACACACACACACACACACACACACACACACACACAATCTTATAAACAGGCTTTGGGAAGAGCAGGGACCCAGAAGGCCCCATGGTCCCAGCAGGAGTTCCTGAGCTTGCGGGGGGTGGGGGTGGGGGTGGGGCAGCTCTGCAGCCCTGGGCCTCTGGGTGTTTCCTTCAGGTTTTCCAGTTCTCAGGGGAGATTCCAATTGCCCAGGGGCCTTAGAGCCCTCCTCCTGGCTGAGGGTCAAAAGGACTGCATCTTCAGGGAAAGGTCCAGAGCTCCCTAATTTGGGTCCTTCCAGGAGCTTCCTCCTCACCCCTGGGAGGCTTCTGCCCTGGGCCTGCCACCCTTCCTAGGGAGGGGCCCAGCCTCTGAAGCTGCCGTGGCTATGTTCTATTAGTGGGCAGGGCTAACTTTCACCCCCCCCCTCCCATCAAGGGCTTCCTCCTCCCACCAAGCACTCTGGTCAGCCTCCCTCCCTCTGACTCCTGTCTCCTAACCTGCCTCTAGTTCTGCGCTTTGCCGGCACCTGGCACTGTGTTGGGGCCTGGTTCAATGACCGGCTGTCCATGGCTCCACAGGCAGCCAGGCTGGTCCTGGGAGCCTCAGGGAGAGCCTCTGCTGCTCCCAGGCCCGGAGTCCCCTCCAGGACAGAGGACCAGAGGGTTTGTGCACTGGAGTGGAGGAGAGCAATGCTTTGGAATGTCCCCCACCTTGGTAAGCCAGTGCCTCTTGTCCCCGTCTGCGTGGAGACCACAACAGGAAACCCAGGAAGGGAGGAGGGTGCCCAGCAGAATTCAAGGAACACAGCTACACCCAGAACCTCCGCATGTTGGCACAACTCTTAGGCTGAGAGGAAACACTCCCACAGGCTGGGGTTTGGGGGTCGAGGGCAAGGTGGGGTTCAGTGCTCACAGAGGGGCTGTAGCAGCCAGGACTGGGGCCAAGGCAGAGAGCTGATGGTCAAGGTCGGGGCTACTCGGCTCTGTCCAGTTCTGCAGAGGCTGCACTGGTGGCGGATACTGTTGTTATTCAGGCTTCCTGATTGCAGCCAAGGCGGGGCAGGGGTTGAGTTCCACAGCATCCCCCCCCCCTTTCTGCATCCTGTTACACACCCAGACTGAATTGCAAAATCTCTTCTGTGACCATCGCTCAGAGGTGATAGTCAGGGCCGCCCATGGTTAATATTGGGAATTGCTAGGTGGCTGTAGATCAGACTCCCCAGATTCTATTCTTTATCTTTTTTGGGGGTGTCTTCCTCCATCAAAGAGGAGTGGAGACAACCTCTGAGACTGATGACCACAGGACTTGGGAGCCACCTTCCCCCATTATACGGAATCAATAGGAATCTGGGTGATTCCTTGTGTTGGCCTTAGCCCCTGGACAATGGCCTTCAAGGATGGGCAGCTGGGTCAGTGAACAGCCTGGAGATTGGGGCCCTGATCATCCAAGCACAGTGCTGTCCCCATCATCCGTGAGGTAGTGAAAAATCTTAGTGGAGTTATTAAAATCCAGCAGCTAAGAAGAAGTTTAAAGTCCTATATCCAGGAATCTCGTTGCTCAAAGGATCAGGGAGAAGTGGGTTGGGTTAAAAGTTGGATTTGGGACTTTTAAAAATAGGAATGCTGGCAAAGTTTAATAAGTCTAATCCTGGGACATGGAAGGGTGACCCATTGATGGAGCTGGAGAGAGAGGGATTTCCTGAGAAGGTTGAGGTTGCAAACAGACTGAGTGGATGTGACAGGCTGGCTGCCCCCTCCACCTGCTCTTGAGTGGGACTAGGCAGGACAGATGTGGAATCCCTGCTAGATCCAGCAGGGGGCAGGATCCGAAGATGAAGGGTCCGTCTAACTCCCATGAAGGAGCTGGGATACAGGAAATGATCAAGAGGCACTTTCTAGAGGGTAGAGAGCAGTTTTATCAGTACCACAGAGGAACAGTTCAGATGTGTGCAGATTTGGGTAGGGAGATCAGAATGCTTCAGAAGTTAATTCGTGGATTTTGTGGGGATTCAGAGGGAGGCGGGGAAGTAGGAATGGCCTGCACTTGGAGAAGTTTATGCAGGAGCATGGAGGGCTGGACTCCACAGGAAAGAGGTCAAAAGAAGATGGAACCACTCCAAGGCCCAGGCAGGGAAAGGCTGGGTAGAGCTCAGGCCAAAGTTAGGTGGGAGGCTGGGAGGAGGAGCCCTCCTCTGTGAAGTCACCCACTCGAGGAAGGCTGGACTTGTTTCCACAGTGGGAGAGTCTGGTGGCCCTCACTTCTGGACTTGCGATTTTTCAATATGTTGGACCCTGAAAGATGGATTCCAGAAGTCTATATCAGGGAACTACACCCCAAAACAAAAGTCACAGACAAGGAGGGAAGGTCCTCTGGTCCAGGAAACAGCACTAGCCCTGCACCAGACTGAGAAGGAAGGGACCCTGCAGTGTGAGCTAAGCCTCTGGTAGACAGAGGTTGTCACCAAAGCCACAGTTTTTTCCCCAAGACCTGAAAGCTCCAGGCCAAGGGAAATACGTCTGTGGGCAGGAGAAGCTGCTGGGACAATGGGTCTCCCAACTTGAATTGCACCCCTTATCCGGTTGCTACATTGAGAGTTAGAATTCCATGCGTCTGTTGCCCAAGTCTTTTTGGAATTCTCTTCATAGGCACCAGCAGCCAGAGCCCCAGCTCTCACGGATATTTAAAACATCCAGTTGGGATCTGCTTCTCTCCATCCACACCTCTGACTCCCAGGTCGTGACGCTAAAGTCTAGCAAAAGACACAGAGAACTGGGACAAAGTATTGCCCCAAGAAGAATCTAAGGAGGGGTGACCATGAGGGAATGTTGGCAGCAGGCTACAGGATGGAGCTGGAGACATGGACCCGAAAGGCAGCCCACCTCCCGCCCTCCCTCATTCATTCATACACTCATTGACACCCCTGTCTCCTTCTATGTGCTGAGCACTTGCGAGGTTCTGGGGACATAAAGTGAGTCAGACAGGGTCCTGTCCTGTCTGGAGCTGAGTTGAGCTGGTGCCCATGTGCACAAAGCAAAGGACCTTGTGGGGACTACTGGCTGCCAGCCGGGGCTTGCTCATCCCTTACCTCAGCAGCACTCACACGCTCAGCTTCCCTGCTCCCCGAGATGCTCCCTGTCCCCTGCTGCCCATGCACCCTCCCCTCTGCCATCAGGAACACCTGGCCCTTCCCTCACCTGGCCCCCTCCTGCTTGCCTTGGCCACTCAGCACAGAGTGATCTCCTCTGTGGACTGCTGGCCCCTCAGTGTGATTCAGACTCCCATGGTTCCATTGGCTTCCTTCTGACATCTTTGCTTTCTCTGAGCTGGTTCCAGTTTGGTTATTGTGAATCACAGTACTGTAAACACGGATATGCATCTGTCGCTATGCTATGGTGACTTTAATTCTTCAGGATAAAT